AAAATAGACTTAGGTCAAGTTAAAAGGAAATATTGAAAGTTAAAACACCAATGAAGATCACTAAACTAAATAACAAACGGTATAGTACATCTGTTATGGTATCAAAATAAAGTTTACTAACTCGATCATCGTTCGTTAGTCTGGAGGCATTTTCCGTTGTCAAGTTGGTCAATTGGTCAGATTCCTAGAGGAACATAGGGCTTCAGCCGTGCGTCTCCATTGCATTCGGTTCTCTGCTAGAGTCTTCATCTGGCTCCAAGTCTGCTCACACGTTTTCATCTCCTCTTCACATGACCTCCTCCAAGTCACCCTACCCTTGCGCTGACGACCAACTCGCCGCCACTTCCCTTTCGACCGGGTTCCACTCGAGCAATGGCTTGTCTAGTGATGTCACTCACTTGATGGTTTGTTTCCTCAGAGTATGACCAGCCAATCCACCTACCTCTATTTCTTCCTGCCTATTTGTTTCACAATCGGTTGGTTCCTGCTGTGTTGGTTGGTTCGCTCATTGCCAGGCCAGAGATCTCTCTCAGTTGCTGATCTTTTCTGGCCGGCTGGCCATCTGATCTTGAGTAGTATTGAGCGAAGACAACTGGCTGTTGATGAAGGTGTGTAGTTTGTTTGAGATGCTGTTTATGACGCGCAGTGCAAGTCTCTGATCCATCTGTATAGTAAGTGGCACTGACTGACTTCACATTGGAGTTGAAAATCCGGATGTTATTTTTGATGGTGAGTGCTGACTGTTGACCTCGACACAGACTTGAGAGTAGTGAAAGCTTGTCCTGCTTTTCCGATGCTTGCTTTGATATCCGCATCAGTTCCGCCGGCCTGTAGTTGAAACGATGCTTCCCAGGTAGGTAGGTGAAGGAGGTTGTTTCTTTCAGGTTCCTTCCATTCATGCTGATTGTTGTCTGTTTTTCTTGTTGTTGTTGCTGTTGGTGGTGTTGGCCAGGAATTTTGTCACCTACCTCTGTTTTCTCTATGTTCACCTGAAATCCTATCTTCTCTGGATGCTTCTTCTGCCAACTTGTTGCTTTTGAATGTGTATACTTTTTTTATTCATCTTATTGTATTATGATGTCATAAGATCTTGATATAGTCTGTCTGGTGTATCGCGAAAATAGTCATTCAACTTAAATTTATTCTATCCAAATTCTAGATCAAATAGAATCTTGGATGGAGGTTTGTGTGTGTGTGCGTGTGTGCGTGTTGTGTTGTGTGTCTGTGTGAATGGTTAAGCAATATGTCGGATACCATTTTGCTTATATATTAAAGACTGATGTCGAAAATTGCTTCATCAGACCTGTTCACAATAAGAGTCTATTTATTCGGCAATTATTGCAATATTTTTTTGCGCTTTATGTTTTGTGTGCTCGAAATTTAGGATGTAGATAGATAGATAAGCGGGGAAAAATATGGCTGTCATCTGGACACTGGTTTCCTACTTTTCCTTTGATAAAATAACACTAAAAGGGGTGGTTGGGCGGGGGGTGCTTCGACTTCCGATTTCAATTCCTGTCACCAGGCAATGCATGTCTGTCTGTGTGTGTTGGTGAGGGTGTGTATGGCATAAGTCAGTTTTCCAGGTCATAACGCTTTGCCTTTTTTCATCTCTAAAAGTTGATCACACCTGATGTCCAGCTGTTGGATTACTTATAAGAATAAGAATCTCTTCAAAGTCTACAGTACACTCAAGTAGTTTTTTTTTTCCTTCACGTTCCCCAGTGGAACATAGGGCTACAAGCTAGTGGCTTGAAGTTTCTGTAGCAGTGTTTATTTTACAGGATGAGGTTGCTAGTCTCATGCCCAACCTTTCCTCTTCACCTGCATTATTTCTGGCTTAGTGAGGTAAAGGAGTGAGTCGGCCGGGGATCGAACCTCGGACCATTTGCATGGTCGGCGAGCGTCCTAACCGCTATGCCACCGACGCTTCAAGTAGTCTCTAATGTATTTGAATGATTTAGAAGTATAAAGCGTTGCATGGGAGTGGAATCCAGTAGGTGCTCATTTCGTTGTATTTGTAGAATTCATTGGTTGATTGTATCTTCGCCACTCTGTGAATTAATGATGATGTTCCTCCTGAGACTCTCACTCAGCCAGTAGGCATTGTTTCAAACCCTAAAGATCAACACGTCGTAACTTATTGGCTTATGATGGTTCACAAAAGAATAGAATCATAAGGGGAAGAGGTTTAAAGGTTCACATATTTTAATTATATATATAACAACAGATGACAAGGACCAGGCAACAGATCGTTTATTGAGGAAAATCAACACATATTTATAGATTTTAATGTACATTATTGTAGATTATTGTTAGTAGAAAATACAGTCTTTTGTTTGGTTGTTTCTCACAGAAAGTTAACCACCTTGCATCTCTTTGTGGCTGTGTCAGATCATCTATGTGCTAACTGTATCCGTCTACGCAAAGCCTTTGTTCTCATTTTCTCACGACCAATATTGGGGACATAAACATTGACGTCAATTACTGTCTGCCATCTTTGGCTAGCTGCCAGCTCTCACCACATATATCCTTCTATTAGATTTGCTGACATACTCCTTCCGGGTGATGAGTGCCAGGATACACGAAACGCAAGTCCAGTGGCTTCTACCGATTTCATCCAACCACTTAACATCAATCTGAGTAGATTTGAAATGTGTATTATTAAGAAAGTAGTTATTCACAACCTAATATTTGACAAACGGTTTCATCGCTTGATAAATCTGATCTATATATTTGTTTATTGCATTTATATTCATCTGAATACTATCTGTCCTTTTTAGGTCATCTTTAGCATTCTTAGTGATATCTCCAAGTTGGTGTATTTGTGTTCATCCAATTTTAGTATGCATTGTGTAAGGGTTATCTAGAGAGAAAGACAAGGAAAGTTTCTCAACGAGAAACCATCCAGCTCAGAGAAGAATTCATGTGTATTAATATTCATCCATCTGATGAGCTACAGTCACTTGGAGCATGAACTTCTCATTTGTTTTGATTTTCTTGACGTACAGTCGATTATTTCCGAATTCTAATTTTGCCGTCTTCTCTACCTCCATATACACAGACTGTATTTCATATATGTCCAAACCAAGTTCACTTTTAACAGTTTGAAAAAATTTGGGCATTGGGTATATGATATTCATTATAATAAAGGTTTTTGTATTTCCCAATGAATGAAAAACAAAACGATATTGTTTCTACTGACGTTTCGCTATTTAATGCTAATAGCTTTATCAAAGTAGTAATATTAAAGGGGAATTTACAAAATCATAGCATATATATAACAGAGAGTTAAGGGGTGAGAAAATAGACTTAGGTCTAATTAAAAGGCCATATTGAAAGTCACTAAACCAATAACAAAGGTAATAGTACATCTGTTATGGTATCAAAACAAAGTTTACTAACTTGATTATCGTTCGTTAGTCTGGGGGCATTTTTCGTTGTCAAATTGGCCTATTGGTAAAGATAACAAAATCAAAATCAAGTGTAGATTGTTGGATTTGATCAGTGTGTAAAATTATAAAAGTAATGTGTATTTACTTAGTGAACTTGCTTATCACATTCGTGTTGATTTTGTCACTTCATGGGGAAGGGAGGTGTTGTAACCGGGTCAGATTGTGTTTTAGTCCATCATTCGTATTCAGGCAACTTAGATTCCACTTGATATGAAGTGCTTCTGATGATATTAGACGTTCTTTGTGATTTCTGAAGTTTTTCTGGATGATAATTTCAATATTGTCAAAATCAATTTTGTGGCCTGATTCTATAGCGTGTAGACCTATGGCTGGCTGATGATTTTTCAAGCTTTCCTAGTTCAACTGGATTTCTTGGTGGTCGAAGAGATGCTCTACGGTGTATGTTTTTTCTGATTAGCTTGATTTCTCGCGATGTTTGTCCGATGTATATTGCATCACATTCCAAGCATTTTATTTTATAAACACAATTAGATAGAGAATCTTTAAGGATTTGGTCTTTAATATGAACAAGGTTGCTTTGTAGTGTGTCTGATGTTTTTAAGAAAACTCTGATGTCGAGCTTATTGATTACTCTTCTGATATCGTCTGACGTCCCTGCCCTATATGGAATGACGACTGTTGAGGTCCATGTTTTCGGAATGTGCTTTCGGCCATACTTAATATCAGTGTTGATTTTGTTGATGGAGTTCTTTGGGTAGTTGTTTTCCTTAAGAGTCACAATAGTGTTTGATATTTCTTCTTTTTTCTTTCTCATCGGTTTATCAGAGAGTGTGTGCTCGTCTAAGAATACTCGAAACAACTGATACCTTTGCGCTGATGGGGGGTGTAATGATCCGAAGTCTAAATATTTGTCATTGGAGTGGGTTTTCTTCCTGAATATGGATAGACTAAAATGTCCGTTTTCCCTTGTCTTAACCATTTCATAGTCTATTTCCCAAGCAACGTAAGTGGTCCAGCGGTAGAATGTTCGCCAACTATGCACGCACGCTCGGTCCTGGGTTCTACCCCCCTGGCCAACAACGCACTTCTAAACCTCGCGTTACTTGTAGTAAGCTTGGTAAGGTGGGAGGGGGGTTGGGCATGAGACTAATGACTCCACATGCCGTAAAAAACATCGTCACTGCTAAGACTTTAGAGCTCAAGCAAGCTTGAAGACATATGCGCTCCACTCGGAAAGTAAAGGAATGCAAAAAACTTTCCCTGATAGGGTTACATTGGTGAGTGGCGTTTTTGTGTAACCCTTTGGAGAGATGGTTCATCGGTCTGAACACCCGATATTCAGTGATGAATGGACCCTGTCTTCGAATCCCATTTCACCATTTTTAGCCCATAGCCCATACATAACCTTGTACATGAAACATATGTCCTAGGTAACTGAGTTCCTAAAAAACACAAACAATAAGATCTGAATTCACCTTATGCTGTAATGGACTCGGGTATTTATGTTACTAGAATTTTTCAAACTGTAATCTGTCGTTTACCCAACAAAAAAATTCCCTCTCTATTTTTAATCCCTTATTACAGGTTATGCCTGATAGTATGTCTTCTCATACTCATGCTGGTGTCGGCGACTCTGTTAGTCTATTTGAAAATCCTGAAGGTTCAATTAGCGGAGAATCAGTTTCATCAGGCAGGCCAGTGCAAAATTCAGTGCTTGACTCAATCAATACAGGTATGTTCTGTTCTGTTCTGTTATTATTATTATTAATACTGTCACTATAATTTTACTTTTATTGTATCAAATAACTACGAATTGTCTATTTCTCATTATATATATACACATATTGAACTGCATGAATGTAATTAATGTTTATTATCGATTTCACCAGCAGTAGTGACATATTTTGGCGACAATTAGATGATTTGTTTGCCTGAATATACTACTGATATTCGTCTTCAGCTTCATTTTCAATACTGTTCCCTATTTAACAGTAAATGAATGTTATAATTGAGAATAATAATAATAGTAATAATTTGATGACACGCTTTACAGGCAAGTGGACAGGGTGGCGATAGGCTCCCCATTGGCTCCCATTCTGGCTGATTTCTTTCTAAGTAAGCTAGATAATGGACCTCTGAACAACCACCTTATCAGTAAGCTCTCATTTTATTGCCGGTATATGGATGATCCCTTCATTATTCTTTGTGATAATGATTCGGATAGGAGTATAATAATTACTGAATTCCATGAAGTACATTCTCCGCTATGAAATTCATATGCGAAGAGGAATCCCAAGACAGAATTTCCTTCCTGGATGTCCTACTTACAAGAAAACCAGATGGTAGCATAAAAAGAAATTTGCATAGAAAAAGTGCTTGGACGGTACAATATACACACTTTCATAGCTTCGTTCCCATCAAATACAAAAGGAATTTAGTGAAGACCCTTAGCCACAGAGTTAGAGCTATTTGCTCTGAAGAAGTAATTAAAGATGAATTAAACATTGTATATGATACTTTAATCGAAAATGGCTATCCCGACAAATTTATCAAGAAATATATGACAAGGAAAGCGGAAAAGGACTACTCACTGTCTGTAAACAAGAAGCCACTTTATATACGACTACAATTCATGGGCGATATACCAAGCGAGATAATTACGAAGAAATTAAGAAAATCAGTTCAAAGAACTTTTAATGCTGGCGAACTACACGTATTATTCTCTACACGACCAATGGTGCTACCTCGACTGAAAGATGAAGTACCTAGACTAGGCACTTCAAATTGTATTTATCAATTCAACTGCACTTGTGGAGCGAGTTATATTGGCCGTTGCTCTAGGAACTTGATTTTTCCTGCTCACTCGAGAACATATCCCACTATGGCTAAATAAGGGTGTAGTTAAGACTATTAACAGCTCGATATTAGACCATCTGGTGCAAATCGGTCACAAGGCCAGTGTAGAAGAATCCTTCTCTATCATCATCTACCGGGTGCCTAAAAAATTACCAAAATCGTCGAAGCACCACATGCTCCAAACAGCAGAGGCTATTGCGATTTGCCTCAAACAACCAGTGATCTGTGTTCAAAAGAAGCAAATCCAGCCCCTACTACTGCCCTGGCCCTCAGTAGAGACTAGAAATTCACGAATTTGTAATATTATCTTTACTAATTCTTCTGACATTCACCTTATTTTATGTTGATGCTATTCAGCTGTAATCTATCAATATTATTGATTCGATGTTATTTACACAGCATTAATGTCGTTCATAAGACTAATTCATTCATTCATTATAATGTATATATAACTGTAGAGCCTGATGATGAATTTATCCAAAAGAGTACTCTTTGTTCCCTGTCCATTCTTTTGAAAATTTTAATGGGCATTAGTTATAATAATAACACTGGGATTTGATATCGTTGTCAGTTAGTAGCTCTGAGAGTCTGTCTATATAGAGCTGGTGGATAGCGGAACGATATTGAAATGTAATAGGTAGCGGCAACCTCAACTGTGTGAATACTGTGAATACATTACTTCTCTCCATTAAATGCCTTCTACACACACTCTTGTCATTACTGTGATGAATATTAAAATCTTCGCGTGTTTCTTCATGCGTATACTTTCAGAATGATGTTGATTATAAGAAAATTTTGATTTCTACATGAAATCAGTGACCTTTTCTTTCGGCTAGTTTGATTATTATTAGTGTGACAAGTCATCCATTGCTTATATCCTTTCTTCAGAATACTTCTAATAATAATAATAATAATAATAATAATAATAATAATAATACTCCTAATATTAATCTCTTTAATATTGACCCAATATTTTTTGTACTTTTATTGCATTTCCTTCCCCCTATGTTCAACATCAATGTTTTATGAATGGTATGTAACTCTTTCTTTCCTCATTTAAATATATATGTGTGTGTTAAAAGTTGATGATGAGCCCGACAGACTGTGTTAAAGACCAGTAATTCAACGTAGAAGAGTAAGAAACAGGGAATGCGTCTCGTGCGTCTCTCGTTTAGCAATACAATTCTCTCCAATCATGCAAATGATCCAAATTTGATTCCCAGCTGATACTTTTTTTTCCTTCACGTTCCCCAGTGGAACATAGGGCTTCAAGCTAGTGGCTTGAAGTTTCTGTAGCAGTGTTTATTTTACAGGATGGGGTTGCTAGCCTCATGCCCAACATTTCCTCTTTACCAGAATTATTTCTGGCTTAGCGAGGTAAAGGAGTGCGTCTGTGGCCGGGGATCGAATCCCGGACCATGTCCATGGTCGACGAGCGTCCTAACCGCTATGCCACCGACGCCCCATTCCCAGCTTATACACACTGTTTAATCTCATTTAGCTGGTATAGTAAGTCAGGTGATGAGAGTAGTTTGGATATGTGAGTTAGGCTAGCACCACGTCCCCTCCCCGACCCCACCCATCCTGTGAAACAAAAAATACCAATTGCTACTGCCACTGAAATTTCAAAGTTTGAAGTCATTCTGGTGGATGGATGGTGACAAGCAGTGGAATCCAGGATAACGCGCATTTCGTCCTATTTGGGACTCGTCCGCCAGCTGGATGTACCGGCATTCTGCAGTGAGTGATGATGGTGTTCCCACCGAGACTCGGACCCAGTGCCTACAGTTGCAAACGTCGAAGCGTTATCCACTAGACCACTTGGGCCAGGAGAGCCACATCTTGTTCAACGGGTCTTATTAATTATTCAATTGAATTGTAGATTTTCCTATCGATTTAATCGGACCGAAGTGTTTGGCTTTAGAAGTATTTCTCGCAGCCCAAGTGGTTTAGTGGGTAACGCTCTGGTGTTTGCAACTGTGGGTGCTGGCTCTGTGCCTCGGTGGGAACACCATCATCCACTCACTGGGGAATGCAGGTACATCCAGCTGACGGACGAGTCCCAAACGGGATGAAATGCGCGTTATCCCGGATTCCACTGCTAGTCATCACCATCCACCAACTTACTCCAAGTGAATTATAATAATAATAATAATTGTTCAGAAGCTGAGAAATGTTATAACGAATCTCTGTTATCTGTTTTCTGTCTGCCAGTTGCATGGTATGTCTGTCTCTTCTCTCTGGGTTTTTTTTATTGCATTCAATATATAGTTGAAATATGCAAAGCTTCAAAAATCAATCTCCTTCCCTATGAATGAAAATCTCTTCCTAGTATCTCAAATATTATCAAAATCAATCTTATGTCCACTTTATAAAAAAAAAATTAATAGTCTATGTTCAGTCATAGGATGACTGACCACATTCTTCATCCAGTCCCAAAGCTATCTGGCAAGCAGTGGGAATTTAATTAAATTATTAGAAGATGTATACACCAGTACATGTTTTGTGTTTTGTTTATTGCCTTAGGTTTTCAATTATTCTTAAAGTTGATGAATAGTGGGTATAAGTAAACCTCTTTGTACAAGACATGGATTGACAATACTTTAAAATGTCATTTTTTTTCTTTCTAGAATATCAAGTTAACTCTTGAAATAGCCTTTCACTGATTGTATATTTATCAGTGTGTGAGTGCTTGTGTGTGTGTGTGTGTGTCTGTTTTACGTCAATTTAGAAAACAGAAAGATTGAGCGAAGAAATATTTACTTTTCAATTAGATCCTCATCTCTGGCTCTACTCTAATATATTCTGTATAGCATTTTAATTACAATACACAACAGTTTACCAATCATCAAGTGGCACTGATATGTTTGTTAACAATAATTAACCAGTGTCAAAATGTCAATGGGTTGATAATTAACGAAGAAACTCAATACACATTTAAAGGGTAGAAATGGTTAGAATAAATTAATTTTACAAGGATAACACGTAATTAAAGATGAAGTGGTCAAAATTAAAAATAAAATAAAATAATTGGGACAATTATAGTTTTTTATAGTTTTTAAAGGTTTAGGGGGAGGGGGCGACGTAGTCCTGTTTATGCATTCTCCTAGAGATGGCCACGGTAAGGAAAGTGGCTGTACAAATTTCTTCTGGACACACAGGTTTGACTTCTTAAGGTGGATTCCGATTGCTTCAGCTACTGTATGTAGAAGACGAACTCCTAGAGCAAAATTAAGATTACTTGGAATGCGATAAATAATTTTAAATGCAGTATTCACATCAACCTTATACTCAGTATCAACAAGGAGTGCTAAAATAGAACTACGAATAGATCTTGTTTGTCCCTTGTTTAACCATGTTGGATGATGTTCAGAAATACGACGATGAAACTGCCTAATTGTACGCCCAATGTAGCTGGCTCCGCAACTGCAGTCAAACTGGTAGATACACATAGAAGAGGCAAATTCAGGTAGTTTATCCTTATTTCCCAAACAGAGAATAGGGGTGGTTGTGAAGAGACAAAGTGCCTCTGCTGCATAGTAAGCTCTTTTAACTGCATTTTGCAGGCGCTGTGTTATTATTTCGCTGATGTTATCACCGAGGAACTGCAATTTTATGAACATTGGTTTCTTCGGAACTGTAGCCATACTGAATTCATATTTTTCTCAATGAATTCATCTGGATAACCATTTTTTCTAAGTAATTCTTTAATAATCTTAAGCTCCTCATTCAGGCAGTCGTCTGAACAGATTAACTTAGCTCTATGAACCAGACACTTTACCAGGTTTCGTTTATATTTCAAAGGTACAAAACTCAAAAAATGAGTGTACTGACCTGTTGTTGTAGGTTTCCTATACACACTCCTTCTTAGTGTGC